TTCAAAAAATGAACAATGGCTTTTTAAATAAATGGGAACAAGTTTACAATGTGCCCCAATGATTGGATTTTTTTTTTCCTATTTAATTCACTGAAAAATATTATTTGGGTATGAGAAATGTAAATAGCTATCAAGAATCAGGTCAAGCTTTTCCAAAAAATTATCGATTAAAATTCTGCTTTTGTGGAAATACATTAAAGAATACATTAAATAAGTAGGAACAAAAGCTCCCTAGCACACTAACATAATCAGATTTGAGTATTATTATCATGTTGGCTTTAGCCAGATCCTAGCAGGTAGCCAGTTTATACAAGTCACTCCAAAAACGAAAAAGAAATATGCATATCCTGACTTTGTAAGAAGCTGCCTGTTAGCATCTTACTATCCTTTTTTTCTCTTTTAAGAAATTTTGAATCCAAGGACCAATAGGTTGACTCATTCACCAGTGGAGAGTATCAAATAAAATTTAAAAACTAAACAGCAGATTTGACAAGCTGCCTTCCATCTGAAAGTGAGAAAGAATCTGATATTGAGCATCTTCTGTGCAAACTATATGCTGTACATATGTTTCTTCAAAATATCCCTTCAAGAAAAGGATAATTATCTCCATTTTATAGAAATGATCATTGAGACTCAGAGAGGTTAAGTAAATTACTTAAGTAACACAGTTAGAAAATAGCACAGGGAGAACTGAGACCCAGGATTAACAAACTCTAAAATCCATGCTCTTTGTAATCTACATGTAGTTTGTCTTTCTATGACTGCTCCTGGTCTAGCCACCTCTTTTGTTTCTTTGTCTATACCAGCATCATTCAACCTTCTGTTTCCAGTGCCAACAGCAACGGACACCACGGCAGGAAAGAATGCCCTACCCAGACAGAAGGTGACAAGTATAGAGAAGGCAGGGAGCTAAATGCTCTTCTGTTTTGCTGTTTTTGTTTATTTATTCCCTGCTTTATTTCATCAAAGCTTTGAGATTGCCAGTGTAAAATGTAAGATATCATAGGAAATTAATAAATGAATCTGGTACTGTTCTATAAGTGGAAATGCAATTAACTAGGAATTAGGAAAGCTGAGATTTAATTTCTGTCCTGCCACAAATACACTATGACTGTGGGTAAGTCCTTTTATTTCTCTATGTTTCAGCTTTCCCATCTGCATATTAAAGTGATTGCACTTGATCAAATGTAATGCTCCCTCCAATTCTTTTACTCTACAGTTTTAATTCTACCCATATACTTCAGAGGCAAGTAAAGTGTGATAATAGTGTCCACTGTAGCTCACTTTGACACCTGATGAGGTCAAGCATTTTTCTCAAGTGATTCCCAGATGAGGAAGTGAATAGCAGCTTGGGACACATGTGTACAGGTGTGTAATCTGACTTTTCATGAGCAGTTGTGATCAGTAGGTAATCGGTCTACTGGCTTACATAATACCTATGCAGGAAAGCGTTCCAACTAATGCTTTCACTGAGTCAGCATTCAAACATCAAAAAGGTCAGAGAGTTACAGAACATACTTTAACATCTACCCCTTCATTAAAAAGGCCCACCCTGCCTTGCCTGTCTTCTTGCCAGATGCCCTAGCTTAGCTCTGAGGAGACTTAGAAGCAGCCTAATTAAAATTCTGCTATGTATTGTCATGACTAAAATACTCTCTATCTTAGAGATGTCAAAACAACCAAATTTGGTAAGCAATTAGGCTATAGTATGATCTAATTGCACTGGTACTCAGACAGAGGTGAGGATGGCTGGTGTTCTTCGTGTGGAAAGCTACAACCCAGGGCGGTAACTTACTTAGACATCTGCTGGCAGGACACTGACAATTCATGCACAGAAGTTATGTTGAAATGATGGAGCAGAACAGCTCCTAAGGTGCCGTTACAGTCTATTGTCCCTACAATGTATATATTTAACAGAGCCTAAATACCCCGTAACACAGCCAACCAGAACAACTCCATTGGTGCCGTTCTGGCCGATCAAGTCAACAATGTTTCATTTTAAAGTGCCAAAATAGGGATTTACCCAATACAGTGAGACCTATCATGAGAAAACGTGTAGCCATATGGACACATATATGATTCTATATGTACTATAAAGATATAAGTATCCTTATGCCTGTTAGTAAGTGTTGGCCCACATTTATGATATACACAAAGACTGTCTTGTATACATCTAACATTACTAAATGTAACAAGCTATAGTGGACAGTGTTGTGCAGCCCCGATCCCCCTTCAGGACTGGAAGATTTATTCCCTCAGCTGCTGGAAATGCTGTTAGTAGCTAGCCCTTAGCTGTTGGCCCTCTTCAGCACTGCCTTAGCTGGAGAGAGTCACCTCACTCAAGGTCATGTCCTCTTCCCATAGCATCAATTATCCAATGACTGGTTGATGCAGGTATATAAAAGCTCACACTCTCACCCCGACTTAGGACAATTCTGAATGGCCGTAGCAGCCTGGAAGCTTCCTATGAGGTTGCTAAAGGCCCTAGTTGAGACGGCACCAGAACACAACCTCTCCCTCTGCACAGTCCTGGGTTTAAAAAAAATTAAAACTTGTTTATTTTTTGGAAATGGGGTCTCACTATGCTGTACAGGCTTTTGTCTTCTCCCTTTCCTTAGCAATCCTAAAAGCACTCCCTAATAAACCTGCATGCTGATCTTCATCTCAAGACCTATTTCCCAGGAAACCCAAATCTGTGCCACATTCTTCTGCAAAGAGTGTCCAAATGAGAGAAAGAAGAGGTACGCTTAATAAATTACAAGGTTTTATGTCAACAGCACCACAAAAAATTACCTACAACTGTATTGTGGCCTACAAAGAATAAATTCATAAATCTAATGGAAAGATCTTATATTTAAGGAAACGGATGGTTCTAACATGAATAATTTTGAAGAGAGTTAAACTGAATTTGTCACAATTCATTTTCCAGTTTAATTACACATTATATATTAATATTTACCCTCTTTGGCTCAGAAGAAAATCTGATGCTCAGAAGAAAAAGTAGTGCCCCATGGAACCCCATAAAATTAAGACTGATATTTTGATTATGAGAAAGCCAAAGCTACCATCACAGGAATCCATTAGTGCTGTCCTTCATTTATTCTTCTAACTTGAACTAATCTAGCAAGCAATCATAGATACTGATTGTAGATACTAAACAAAGCCTACAAGAATCACAAAATATATGTGTAAAACAGTGACATTATGCAGGAGGGAGAGAGACCATGTTAAGGAGAGCTCATGAACACAACATCTCTAATAATGAACTTTTCCAGTGCTCCAAATTCAACCCCAGTAAGGTTGTCTACTGAGAAAACAGCTCCTTTCAACTTGGAAACCAGGATTTTCTGGTTCTGTAGAAACAATATTGCAGCTTACCTTCTGGGACTCAGTTATATTCAGTGTGATATGTTTTAGGTCAAGTTCAAATTTATCTATCTATCTACCTATCAATCAATCAATCAATCAATCATCTATGTATCTATCTTGACCTCATCTCTCATCCCTCTCCCATGTGTTCCAAAGCAAAATAAAGTTTTATCCTTTTAAACTTCAGACTTTTCCCTCCCAAATGAATTTAAAAAGTCAATGAGAAATACTTAATCTGTAGAACTTGAAGTTAATAGTGTCTAAGTTTGAACTTCAACAGACAATACAAATTCAACAATATAGGATACCATGGAGAGAACTTTTGTGTCCCCTCAAAATCCATTATCTTGAATCCCCAATCTCCAATGTGATGGTCACTGGAGGTGGGTCTTTGGGAGGTAATTAAGTTTAGATGAAGTTATGAGGGTAGAGCCCCCATGATCAGATTAGTACCCTTCTATCAGATAATCAGAAATTTTCACTCAGTCTACTAATAGCCTCACAACCAGTCTCCCTGTTTCCATTCTTAACCTCCTATATAGTCCAATCTTCCACAGTAGGCAGAATGATCCTTTTATATGTAAATCAGATCAAGTCAATGTCCTGGACAAAATCAGTCTAGGGATTCCCATCACACTCAGAATAAAATGAAAAGCCTTTCCAGGGTCTACCAGGTCTAATAAGCTCTGCCCAGCCTATCACTTTTACTTTATGATCCCCTGCTGTGCTGTCTCTTGTGCCATTCTTGCCACACTGGGCCTCCTTGGTGCTGATCTGATCCTCCAAGGGCCTCCACATTCATCATTCCCAGTGCCTGGAATGCCCCTGCTCCTGCCTATCATATGGCCTGGACTGTTGCTTCATTCAGATGTCAATGTCACTTCCTCAGAGAGTCTTTACCACTCCATGTAACATACCAACCCTATAACACCCTATTCCTTTAACTTGCTTCTTCTATTTTTTCTCATGGCATTTACTGACTTCCTGCCATTATATTTTCGATTTAATTGTTTATTTCTTCATTGTCTGTGCTCTCCTGTTAGAATATGAGCTCTAGGAAAGCAGGTATCTTTGTCAGATTTGCTCACTGCTGCATCTCCAGTGCCTAGAACAGAGTCCATCATAGAACAAACAATAAATAATTTGCTGGATCAAAAACCAAATGAATGCAATTTGCAAATTGCTTTGTTTTGCTTCATTTTTTGTCCTGGTTGTCAGGAAGTTTAGTATTACATTTAATGGTGAGTCACGGTAACATATTAGTCTTCATTGTAAACACATATGTGTCTTCCTTTTTTAATATTCTGGTACTCTATTTTTATTCTAATAACATCATACATCTCCTTTATTTTAAGATACATCTATTTCAGAATGTGACAGAAAAACACACCAATAGGCAGGTAGGTTGGGTGTCTGGGAGGCAACTTACACTGGGTGGGAAAGGGCATATTTGTTAATCAGCAATAATGCTTACAGATACTACATGACAGATTTTAGTAAAGTACAAGACAGCCCTCAAGCTGGAAGCCCAAATCCATGGCTGCAGGTTGATACCTGGGAGCCTGGAAAGAACCACATGAGAGTGAGCCAACGAGTCTAGCAGATCCAGTGACACAAGGAAGCAGTTTTACCTTTTCATTCCTGCAGTTGTTCAGCCCCATATTATTTATGGAGGACAGTTTCCCATCAACACCATGTGGCTGTTGCTGCTGTTGTTCCCGCTGGATCTGCTCTCGCATCTTCCGCGCCTCCTGGATGGCTTTCATCACCGTATCCTGATCCCCAAAGAGGGCAGGGGAGTTGAGACTAGATAGGATATCTGCATACACAGGAAGCATTATTAGAGGCTTGTGAGGTCAGACTCCTAATAAGTACTACTACTATACCCTCCCCTGTAGAAAACTGCATTCTCTGAACAAGGAAGGGGTGCACATTTGCTATTTTTTAAACTATACAATAATATACATAGAACACAGAACCAGGGCAACCAAGTTGTGCTCGGTTCTTTTAGCCCTTGGAGAAAACCCCAGCACTCCAGTCTATCTGGGTTCTGTCTACCCACCTCCTCACAGACTAAGGTTCCTAGACTCCAATTGTATACATATTGGGGGAAGGTATTTGCTCTGCCTGTATGTACAACTGATGCACAATGCTGCTTCTTCTGTGGGGAAATTATGGGGAGGAAGGGGGTGAGGAGTGGGGAGGAGGCAGAGATGTTTGTCCAGGCTACCCATTACAGTTGCTGTGCTAATACAACACAGTCGTTTCTGGCCCGCAGGAAAAAAAAAAAAAAAAAAAAAAAAAATTTGTGAGGCTGCATGTGTACTTTAGTGATATCTGTATCTGTATGTTCATATGTCCACTGCAGGAAAGAGGGGGCGGAAGGAATTCACCATACTCTCCAGTCCCCCAGTTGCTGGCTGGTTAATGAAGCATTCTTCTCATTAGGCTGCCTCAGTTATTTACCAAGAGAATGACAACCCATTCCCCACCCCCAGCTCGAACACCCACTGCGATCAGCTCTCTCTATTCACGACAGTGAGGCGATATGTGTGGGACTGGTTTTCGCACAACTACAAAGCTTCAAAAAAAGTGAGAATAAATATTTACTTCCAGTGTATTCCATGCAACACAGAGGGAAAAATTTCAATATTAAACTGACTTATTTTCCATGATATCTTGCATTTTACTGTAACATGAATACTTTGAATAAGATTTTCCAATTTTAGACAAAAAGAGGGCAATTGTTTGATGATAGATAGGTTTCATCTGCTGTAACAAATGTTAGTGTGATCCACTTGCTGAAGGGCTTGTATAAGCAATTCATAGCATGTGTGTGTGTGTACACCTCACATAGGCAGGACAGAAGAAATGAGTGCAGAATCAAGCTCACACTGGATGTCTGGTGTGTACAATGCATGTGCATATGCATTTGAGTTTGGAAAAAATTTCCAAGCTATCTATGGAATTTTTTTTAAGTCAGTCACTTTTTAGCTCCACAGCTTTTATTCTGGAGCTTTTCTGGTAAAAAGACCATTTCTATCCAATATCATCTGGACAAGAGTGCTGTTCAAACACAGGTACTATTATTTCAGCCCATTTCTATCTCATGATCTAAGAAATATGCTTTGCTGAGTCGAGTTCCATAAAAGAAGGGCCTGTGACTCAGTCATCTCTGTCTCTCATGATACTCAGGACAGCAAACAAATGCTTTCCAAACAATTTCAGAGTGAATTCTAGGAGGGCCATTTCAAGGTCAACTCTATAATATATCTTCTTGTTGGCTTTTTTCCCTCATCTCACGACTTCCAAAAATCCAGCCAAAGGGTATTCATATTCACATGCTGGAAATGATTTAATTCTATCTTCTATACGGATACCACTAACTTGGCATGAAAACTTTCAGGTCCCGAAAAAGGCGTCCTTACTCAAAATAAGAATATGCTCCTGTAGAGATCCAGTATTCCAAAATTCAGTGAGGAAGATTTACACCTCACCATCAGAAGATTCACTTACACTCAGCATATTTAGCAAATATTCTAACTGTGAGTTTACAAAAAGAACACTGAGTAACATGTGAGAGGACCTGGATTCTAGTCCTGTTTCTGCTAATGAACAGCTGCAGGAGTGTGGGCAAGTCATTCTACCTGTAAGAACCACAATGTATGTATTTGTACAATGAGGGTAATAATACACTATCTAACTCATAAGATTATTGTGAAACATCGAATCAGATAAAATAGGCAATAATTTTTTTAAGCTGTTAATGGCTATTCTTATATATGATTTTATCTATTGAAATAAACATTTTAGACTTCAGAACTCAATAATACAAGGAAGGTAATCTGAAGAAATGCTAGGTTTTGTCCTTTTAATCTTTAAATCTGTGTCTGTTTGGAAATTACATCTCTTAATTTTCAAAGAGTATAAGTATAACAAATTAAGAGACTTAATTTCCAAACAGAGAGTATAGTAACCATAATGTTAATGCTTATTTGGCACTCTCTTACTGACAACTACTTTCACATTTATTGTTTCATTCCACTTATATATGTACATGTATTGATAATCATTCATTCCAGTTTTTTTTAATTGAATGCCTTTTAGGTTCTAAACTGCACTAGGCACTTAACACGTATTTTTCTCTTTTAATCCTCATAATAACCTATGAGCTAGTAATACTAGGAAACTGAACTTGAAAATATTAAATAACTTTTTTGGGGCCACATAGCTAGAAAATAAAGGCTTTCTGTACAGGCCTGCCTCATTCCAAAACCCAAGTTTTTTCCTCCATACTTTTCACATAGGGCTATGAATATTCCCAGAGATACTTGGCTATATATCTCCACGGGAGTATAAGGAGTCAGACATTATGACATCTCTTCCTACATATCAATAGTATTTCATATATGTTCTTGAAGTGTGTCGTTCATATTTGTTTTACTGCAAAAGTAATATGGGATAAGATGTAAAATTCACATACACTTTGATAGAAGATAAAAATTTCAAATAAATTTTGGCCTTTAGGAAGGTTGCTTTGAAGCCAGGTCCTATGTCCCTGAAAAATTATTTCAGTGTCAAAGCACTGACCAAATATAGCAATTGCTAAGTCTATGATTTGCTGCATCTAACTCATTATCATCTAAAGAATCCATCCCAGCAGGATTTATATCATGACCTTTTCCAAAAGTTCTAATAAAAGAAGATACTAAATTGGTTTATGTTTCAGTAGAAAATATGAGTATTATCTTTTACTAAGGAGCACTTTGGAAACAAATATCAGTCATAACTAAACAGGTTTGCTTTCTTTTACCTAATTCGTAAGTCTCTTCCTGGAGTTGACTTTTCCATTTACCTAAAGAGGATCCTCTTCCCAGACTTCCTCCAATGGGGCTAGGGATGCTGCTTTTGTTTGGCAGATTGACAGGGCTGGTTTTGCTGGCTGGGAAGAGGTTCTGGGTGGGAGACGTTGGGGATTTTACAGGCTCTGCTGTCTTGGGTCGGGATGAGAGATTCAGAGGCTGTGCTGCTGCTTCATCCTACAAGAGTTTAACATAAATAATTATTTTTACAAAAGACAAATGAAGCACATTATCTCTTAGTAAGCCACAGTTATTTTACACCTCAGAGACAATGCCACATTCTCCTACAAAAATAACAAAAGAAGCTAATTATCTACCTCCTTGAAGATTCATCGGAAGGAAACCTCATTAATTTCCCTGCGTTATGTTTCTATTTACATTAACTGTGCAGTTGGATCATTCTTTTTGCCAAATTAAAATCTGAATTAGCTCACATTACAGCTTAATTTCCTAATGTGTTTTCAGGGATCTAAATTAACCTAGGGCATTTACAAAGAATTATTTAAAATTTCAGCAGCTCTGTAGTGCTTTTGTGTTACTCTCTCTGAAAAGTTCTTGTAGCTATAAACAGCCTCTGCAGCTAATTTTTTAATATATATTTTAAATCAAACAATTGCAAGCACTTTAAAAATGGAAACATGGAAAGCCTTCTGATGTACTAGGCCCCTGCCCAGGGAGCCGCATGCCACAACACGGCTTCTATGTGGCTTTCTGGGTGTGGGCACTCTTCATGGTCTATATTCTGGTCTCTATTCATGTTTAAAATTAATTTTTGCAAAGACCAAGGATAGATTATAATTATGTTTCACATACTATGCTATATGTAATTTATTTTTCATGTTTAAAGTGATGTTTCTTTATATGCTTTTCTACATATATTTACAGAATGTCTATTTTAAGATACATGTCCTTCTACACTGAGACAGTATTCAAATATCTGGCTTATAACTGTAGTTCATCCAGGAGCTTGAAAGCTAAGCTCCTTCCTTTACTTTGTCTCATTTATCCTGCCATAAAATACTCGAAATAACACTTTCATCATCTTAGAAATTTAGTTATAATATGAGCATATTTATTTAAATGTTCAGTTTTAAGATCTACATTATTGTGTTCTAAAATAAAATTGTCAGCAAATGTTAACTCCCATTTTGCTTTTGAGAAGGCAAAGAGAACTAGCTTTTAATGCCATTGTTTAAAAGATCCAATAGAGTTTGGTAACAGAACATTTTCCCCCTTAGTAACCATGTGACCTTGCTGGGGCTCAATTTCTTCATCTGTGAAAAGAGGGTCTGATACTAGATGATCTCTAAGGCCTCTTCCAGTACGAATATCATTGACTAAGGGGGAACAGAAAGAGAGGCCAGAAAATACTACTTTTGAAGAAAGATTAGAAAGAGAAAATAAAAACGGCATGCACAAAGAAGCAATTATATACCAAGGACTGTACTAAGCATTTTCACATACTAGCTCATTTAACCATCAATAGCTATGAGCCTGGCCAGTATTATTCTAAATTTACAAATAGGAAAATGGAGGTCAGAATGACAAAATCCCTTGTCTAAGGCCATATAGGGAGGGAAAGAATTTAAATTCTAATTTATTTGACTCCAAATTTCAGGCCCCTTTTCTACTGAACTACCAGAGAAAATAAGTCTATTGTTTGATAACATAGTGATGCTACAGATTTTTGTGTGTGTGTTCATAGGGAAAAGGCAATTTCTCACATGCATTGCAGTGTATGTTTATGTATATTTATACATAGGACAGGTTCTCAAGCAACATGGTTACACAATGTCAAAATTATCTTATGTATTTAATTGCAATTTACTTCCCTTTGCTCTTAATTCAAAGGATGTTTGAACTAGTTTGTTCCTTTACTCACATCTAAATAATAGTGATTTATATGGTAGGTGTTCACTTAATTTTCTCCACGTTTCCTTTATTTGGGGCTCACTGAGCTTCTAAAACATCTAAATTTAAAGTATTGATCAAATTTGGAACATTTTCAGTCATTACTTCTTCAAATACAATTTTCTCTTTCTTCCTTTTCTTTATGGGCCTCCAACTGCATACTTTAGTCTATTCCATGTTGCCCCACAGTACTGACCAGTCTTTTTTCTATGCCTTTCATTTGGGATAGTTATATTGTTATGTCTTCAAGTTCACTAATCTTTTCTTCTGAAATGTCTAAGCTGTTGCTAAACCCATCTAATACACACACACACACACATATTTAATCTCAAACATTGTATTGTTCATCTCTAGACATTTGATTTAGGTTTTTCATGTCTTGCTTTATCATGCTCTTGTTTTCCTCTATATTCTTGAACATACGGAGTTTATTACATCTTTTTCAACTTTGAAATACTCTATTTTTTTACTTAGTTGTATAATTCAGTAACTGCCACTTTAATCAATAATACCACTGGGCATGGCTACTACCTACCCACTCCCAATTAAGTGAATCCTTTTCCACCATAGCAGAACTCTTGGTCCTCACAGCCTGCCCTGTCCTGATAACTTTGTGCTAACCAAACCTGGGAGTAGGGGAAATAACAATAGCCCTAGGCCAGAATGTCACAGACCCCCACTATTCTTACATGTAAGAGGCATAAATATTTTCGCAGATTATATATAACTTTGGTCATTTTTAAGAATGCCAAAATGACTGTTTTTGTCAGTTTTGTCCAGCTTCATAGATGAGATTTTAGGAAAGCAGATGCTTATCTCATTTGGTGCTACTTGGAAGTCTCTTATAATAGTTGTTTTTACTTTCTGATCTACTAATTCTATCATTTGTGTCATTTTGGGTCTGTTTCTATTGATTGATTTTTCTCATTATTCATATTTTTTGCTGCTTTGCAAGCCTGATGTTTATTGTACGGATGCTACACATTGTGAATTTTACCGTCTGGGGTGATGAAGTTTATGTATTTAAATATTTGAAAACTTTGTTCTGAGACACAGAACAATTTGATCCTTTTCTAGACTTACTTCTAAGCATTGTTAGGCAAGGTCAGAGCAGCCACTAAGTAGGGGTAATTTGTCCCCACTACTGAGGTAATACCCTTCTGGGGGCTCTACTTGATGCTCCATGTGTCAGGAGATCTTTCCACTCTGGCTATTTCTGGTCCTTTGTGAATCTTGCAGCTGTTTTGTTTGCTACATTCTGGTGTTTCCCCTTACCTCAGGTAGTTTCTCACATGCATGAGCTGATCAGTACTCAGCTAAATACTTAGGGGGAGCCTTTTGCAGATCTTCAGCATTCTTTCTCCATGCAGCTTGCTCCTCTCTGGTACCCTGTCTCACAAATTCCATCTGCATTAGCATCCCTAAACTTTGAACTCTGTTTCTCTACTCAGGGAGCCTATGAAGCTTCCTGCATAGTTGCCTGGAAACTTCCTTCCAATAGTGAGCTGCAACAATTGTAGTGCTTGCCTCACTTGTTTCTCTTCTCAGGAATCACTGTCCTGTACTACTATTGTAAATGTCTGAAAACCATTGTTTTATATAATTTTTGTACTGAGTTTTAGTTGTTTAAGCTGGAAGAGTAAATCTGATTTTGTTCCCTCATCATGGTTGACCAATGGAAATCCTCTAGGTGTTTATTTAGGATCTCTCCCAGTGTACAACTAGATCACAACCATTAAAACCACCACACTATCTTCTTCATTATCATAACGACCACCAGCAGCATCACTACCACTAACATTTATAGAATACTCAGTATAATACTAGAGGGTGTATATACGACCTATAATAATATTAACTCCATTTTTTTTCAGAGGAGAAAACTAAAGTAGAAAGCCACTAAGTAGCTTGGCCAATATGATAGAGCTAGTAAAAGTGGTAGAACCACTATTTTAATAGAAACATTCTGACTTCTGATGTTGACAGTTATAGTAGACAAAAATTCTAGGGGGAAAAGGTACATCAGAACATCTATATTTATTTTTGTTACTTTCAGCAAATGTTGCCTGTGTTCTGTCTGAATTTAATATAAGTAGTCACGTTATATACAGAGAAAAAGCAATGACTATAAAGAGAAACATGAGAGATTTTGGTAACCACAGTTCTTTAAATTAGCAAACTATAAGATTATTTTCAGAACATCTTCAGTAATAGATAGGAGTTATATTTTAAATTTAAAACATTTGCTTTATGTTTTGGTCTATATATTTTTACCCATATATACAATAAAAAGTCTAATAAGTAAAATAAATATTTCCTTTGTTATTAACATAGAATATGGTCAAGTCAAACTACCCCAGAGAGATCTCTAAGAATTTTCATGTGGTCAAGTGAGTAATAAAATTCAGTTGGCTCACAAAGATGGAAGGGTAAAAGCAGATATAAACTTGAATTTAACCAAGGAACATTTTACTCATCCAGTAAAGACTTGGTTTGGTGCAGTTCCAGTTGGTCAACTTACTTATAAAATGACTTCTTTATGTTAAAATATTTAATACTGAATAGCTCAAGTCACTGATATTTGATATACTCATACTCTAACAACTACGAGTAAGCAAAGTGTCTTTGAGTTGTAGTGTTCTCTTATTCACAAACACAAACTCTGGAAACATAGAATAATCTGTTTTCATAAGTGATTCTGTCTTACTAAATGTAAACCTCCTATTGTAATATCTCAATATTTCTAACAACATGACATAAATGTTCACCGATTTCTTTGGAGAATCTAAAAGAATAGGTGGCATTAAATTAATTTCTTTGGCTGGAACATAGACAGAACTACCTCTCTTAATGATTTTCACATTTTTTGATCTTTGGTATTTGGGATCTACTTTTTTAAAAGACCTTCTGGAATCTCAAAATTACTATATGCAAATTTTAGAAAACAAAACAATTTCGGTGATTGTATACCATCCAATTATTAATTTGGTTGGTCTCAGCTGTTTCCCTTGTGAAGATTTAATAACTGCAAAATTTCTCCAAATGCAGTACTTTAATCATATTACAATAAAGCATTTATACTTTGCATACTCCTCCAAGTAGAGAAGTCAATTATACAAAACAATTGTTCCTCTGTTTGAATTTGATAATTCAATATAGAAAGCAACTGCAATCATAAAACCAACAAGTGCCACCTACAGGTACCAGCTGCAGCACAAAATTGCAGTGGCTCATCAATTTCCCTCTCACCGAGTGCCTCCTGGCTGCCCAGTTTCAAGACACTGAAAATTAGTGAGAAAAGATATCTATTAATGTCCCAGACATAACTTGGGAAAGCCTGTTTATCCTATCACAACTCTATGGCATCAAAAGCATTATTAGGCAATGACAACTCATTCCTTAAACATGTATAACTAGTTTTGAAGGAGAGATCTTCATCAACAAACCTTACAGAGTCCAGCATTAAATTCTATTTTGCACTTCTTTTTAAATCCAATGTTTCAAGATCCTAATTCTCTGGTCCTATAAGTTAACTCCCTCCCTATTTAAGACACACAGAGAGAAGTGCCACAAGTCCATGACAAAGACTGGCAATAAAATTATGGCCATTCATGCCAATGAGCATTAAAAAATAAAAGCCAGAATCCAAAGGGGGAAAACTCTCGAGAAGTCAGTTTGCAGATTGAGGTAAAGATCTCACAATATGGCACTATTGTTATCAAAAGGGAAACACCTGTTTCTCAATGCTCAATCATGAAATTTACCACAAAGAGGGACATTTTGGTGTTGCTTTATGTTGCTATGTTTCCTGCTGTTTATGCCCAACATAGCCTGCTTCACTATCTTTCTTGTGAAACTATTTTCTAAACTGTTTCCACAATCCTGCAAGGTGAGTACCTTAACTTGAGTTACAGGGCTGGTCCCTCTCTTTTCATTTTTTATCCCAGTAGGTGAGACCGTCCCTGCTGTGTTTGGTGGCTGTGGAGTTGATGGCATCTTTGCTCCAGGTGACACCTGCATGCTGGCCAGCTGAGCGGCATAGAGCTGCTGTAAAACAGGGAAGACAAATATTGATCTTTTTAAATGCAGCTGAAATTGAGTTAAAAAAAAAATCTTACCATATTGTTAGATTTCTCAGATAGGCTTGTAATTTCTTTTTCGTTATTTTTAAAAAAGGAAACTAAGAGAAGGCAAATAATAAAACAGAAAGAAAGAAGACAGGTCTGGGAGCCATAGTTCTGTTCCTGGTCCTTCTAGCAACAGCTTTATGATCCTGGACAAAGGACTTGATCTCTTTAGAATTCAGGTTTGTTTTTTTTTTTTAATTGTACAAAAAGGAATTCGACTAAGTAGTCTCTAAGATGCTTTTTAATACCTAAAATCTTTATTAAAAGTTATTTAAATATCTGGGATGTCCACTTGTGTAATATTAATATTCATGAATTAAGAAACTAACCTGAACTTTTCTAAAGATTCTTGGAAGAACTGTATCATTCTTATTCAGCTCTGGCTATGCATCCCTGGGTATTCTGATCCTTCTGAATAATGAGTGCTGTTCCCAAGGCCACTAAGGCCCAGTGGCAGTCATTGTTTACCCAGGGTCTTATTTCTAGGCAGCATATAACATAATCCTCAAGAGAGTATAGCCAAATTGGTAGCAGTTTTGTTGTTGTTGTTGTCGTTGTTGTTGTTTCTTAAGTCAAGCTTCTCTAAACCCAAACCAGCTAACAAAGTGCTTCCTTAATGCTTCCAAACAGATCACCACACTTTTCTCCTCAGGTCCTGCCTTTGTCTGGGACTCCACATTTATCTTCATCATATTCTCATTGCTGTTTCAAAGTCTTTTCTGAAGTATTTTCTGTAGTTCTCTTTGGCAAACCAATGATCTTATTACTCATTCTATTTACTCAGCTTAAAATGGTTCCTCTTCTCTGAGACATGATAAGCAGACAATCTGACATTACAAATCTTTAAATTATCAACCTCAAAATATGTTGATTTCACTAAATTAAAGCCAAAGATTGAAAGACAGGTGGGCTAACCTCTTTCATTACAATTTTCATTTTTATCAAAGTCATTCTTTGACTTTACATTTAGCTTTACAAGATAAATAGTACTTTAAGGTTTTAAAAAACAAAAAACCAAAACAGCAACAACAAAAAGAGCATGACAAAAATGTACAGTGCACAGTCTCCACAGCTTGCAGAATGACCTTCATTTTCTTACCCTGGTCCTCCTTATCTCACCCCCTGTTCTGTGGAGACCATTCCCTTCAATTCATTTAATGGTTTAACTGGTATTTATATCCTTATTTGTAAATCATTCTAAATGTTATATCATTATTTACATACAAAGGAAAATGAAAGTTTCACTTTTCTACATTGAACACCACATGTGCTCCCATGCTTCCCTCTCCAAACTCTTAATGTTAATGTCACAAATTTTAAAATTAGTGTTTACTGTTTTATATTATTTTATGAAGATACTAGCTATGTAGTAAACTATATTTAATTTTATTTCTCAACTTTTAATTTTGTTAGATTTAAGATTTGCCTCATATTTTGTTTTCATAATTTTTAAGTAACTATCACTAATTCTCAAACTCTCCATGAAATCAGTAAAACTCTACCTAACATAATTGAATATATCAGGTAATCTGTGAACCCTGGTTTTTCCCTTGGCAACATCCTTCTTGGAATTCTCAATCTTCTTACTCCAAATCTGAACTAATTTATTCCTCAGGCCTACCTACTGCATATCTATGGCACTTGGAATTCCTTTTGCCTCTCTTGCACCGGTGTCCTTGTTTCCTAGGTATCATGTTTTCTTCCCTTTTAGTTAACTGTCTCATTTTGGTAAAGCATATCCTCCAAGAGCTTCCTGAGAAAGGTGAATGTGACATTAATTATTTAGGAACTCACATTCTTCTCATTTGGTTGTAGTTTGACTGGTATAGAATTCTAAGTTGAAAATAATTCTGCCTCAGAATTCCAAAGATATTGATCTGTTGTCTTCCTATTCTTTTTACTAAGGAAGCCTGACACTATTTTGCTCCCTGATCCTTTGTATGTAATCTATTTTCTCCTCTAAAAGCATCAGGATCTTCCCTTTCCAGTGAATGTTTTGAAATTTCACTATTATGTCCTTCTGTTGACTTTTACATTCATTGTTCTGAACAGCCACTCAGTCTTTTCAATCCAAACCATGTCTTTTTTTCTAGGAAACTATTTTGATGTTTCTCATTGATAATTTTCTCTCCTCTGTATTCATATTTGATAAATGTTAGATTTCCTTATTAACCCTCTATTTTTCTTATTTTTTCTTTCTATTTGCTACTCTTTGACATTTTGTTACACTCTATGACAGATTTTTGGCAACTTCATCTTCCAAAACTTCTCTGAATGTTTTAAAGTTTCTACCACTATATATTTTAAAGATACTCTTATTCTCTGATTGCTTCTTTTTATAGCATCCTGTTCTCTATTCTGTTTGACAATGTTAATTATAGGTTTGGGTTTGTTTTTAATGTTTTCTGCTCTCTGCATTGTTACCACTCTTCCAAGGCCTTTGAGCTTTTTCATATTAGGGGCTTTTCCAAAGGGTCTGGTGTTCATTGGTTGTTTATTCATATATAAGAGCAATGTACTAAAAAGCTGACTGGAAGATCTAAGTACAGGATAGACTTATTGATTTATGGGCTTCAGCATAAGGTAATGATGAAGAAAGTCTGCTTTTTCATTGGGAAATTCCAAGTGTCAATATCTACAGGCCATTTATCTTAGACTAGACCATTTTCTTAGAGAGATGTCTTCAAATTCTTGCCTTGATTTGTGCATAGACTTGTATGCCATCATTACATAAGCCAAACAACAGAAGGCAGGAGAAGAATCTCATAGTCTGGCCTATCCTGCAGATTCCCTGATTTTCACCATGGCACATCACTCATTCTCAGCTATGCCTGGTGTCCCAAGAAATAAACCATTCAAGTTCTACTTTTCAAGAGAATAAATCTCCAGTGACTTCTGTCAGGTTATATGCTCATGGGGCTGGGAGGGAGGAGGCAGGGATTGTAGTTACCAGGTTGCATGACATTAGGGAGGGATCATCTTATATCTATTTTCAACCAGTCATCCTGTCTACAGTTCCACCTCTTACAACTGTTCCTTTAATGATACATGATGCCTTCAATTCCTAAGCATTTTAAAGGTTCAGCTCCCAATTGGGCTTGATTCTTTTTGGCTTTACACTCCTAAAGCTTGGGTATCAGCTTTCTCTTTTCTGCTAAGACAGTTATAACTCATCTATCCATTTCTCATATTCCAATTTTTTTGTCTTCTCTTTCCATTTCTACTTGAAAGTTTACACCTATAATCCTTAACCATAAATTTACTAGGATTTGGTTAAAATCGGTAATAAATGAAAATGTTAATCTGCTATGGTTAACCAGAAGTCAGACACTCCAATCTTAACACTATTTAATGCTTGAAAACTTCATTCAAATATTTTCTTTTCTTCTTATAATCAAAATTAAGCCATTACCTTGATGGTCACATTTCTATCATAATAAATAGAAAGCTTCGTAGATCATCAACCAAAATAGCTCAAACTTTGCCATATGAGTAGGGGAGAAAAAACAGGTGGTTTGTATGTAATTTCCAGCATTTCTATCATTCAGATGGACAAATAAAAAAATTACCACAGTAATCAAAAACAGACCTTTCAGCACATGTAATTAAATGAAAGCTTAATAAAGAATAATTTGCAAGAGCCAGATGTGCTTATGTCATGATTGTTGCTTTCTTTGGAACAATTTTTCTAATATAACAAGCCTCTAAAGAAATTAAAGTTTCATAATTCTGTATGCAATGACTCAGTGGCAAGAAAAATTCACAAGCAGAGTCAGTCAAATTGCTAGCACTTAGGCAAAATGAGGGGGGTATTTTTTGGTTTCTCTTTTACTCTGTTGTATCATTTTCCTTTGAAATTCAGCCAGATGTCTTCAGAATGGGGACAGGTCAAGCTTCTGAAAATGTCTGCTTGGATTAAGGCAGTGAAAAAAAGTTCTATACTGAATGGAGTCAAGATGGTTATAAGATGAAACATGTTGACTATATAGTCCCGTAGCTGGTATCATAACCAATATATCCTACTATGAGTATTAAAGAGTCATAAAATCTTAGAGATGCTAAGAGTCCTTGGATATCATTTATGCCTTTTACCTCAATCATTAAAAAGATCAAATGAATGTCAATTTCACTCAATCTTAAGTCTTTTGGGAAATGTGAACTAGTGAAAAATGCAGAAAAACACATTTTTGGAAATAAATCTATTTTTTAAAAAAAAAGTTGGCTATGAATCCTTCTGATTGAAAGAATAATACAATTATTTTTCAGGAAAAGAGTAGTGTTAATTGCTTCTTTTAGAGCTCTGATAATCATTTGTTTTACAGCCCTTTGAAGTGGGTTGTACCTAAGGAAGGCAAGACTACATAAACTCTGAGACTCCATAGAGCTGGTTCTTATGAGTTGTGATTACTGATACATTAGAGAAAGGAAGAGGTACAGCCGCATTCCATAACCCTTTTCAAAGCTGGGTAAACTGGACAGTAGGATATCAGGTAAGATTTAGTAGAATGAGCCTTGAAATAGAAATCAGAAAATGGAGTCCAATGAAAAGATAGAAGGTATTTGCAAAAATTAAAATATCCACATTCTGTCTAACAAAACATATGATTTTAGTATAAATATCATTCTATTCAGATTGAAGATTTTAAATTTGTCTTGGATAATATGAATGTCATTAAATGAATAGGTATAAGCTTACAAAATAATTTCTCAGCTCACCCTCTAAACTAACATCAGTTGAATTTGTTCCATGTGTAAGGTTCTGTGTTAGAAGCTGAGGAGAATTCAAAGCGCACAGCTCTAAAGGAGACATAAAATATAAATCCTTAACACTTTATTTGTACTTTTTTGTAGTGCTTATCACTATTTTAAACTTTATGTGTAATTATGCACATGTATCTTATCCTGCTTGATACACTGTAA